CTCTTTATTATTCAAATAATAATTTTACAATTATGAACTTATTTTGTGGATTATTTCATAATTGTTAGTAATAGCATATTTTATTACTAATTAACGCATTAAAATACATACATAAGTACTTAAACCTAAATAAAATTATGAGTTTGAAAATATTTGTAATATAATTTAAAATTATGTAAGTTTAATAATTTCAAATTTAACAATTTGTGGTATTTGATATTAATTCACATTAAAAATATGATTTTTAACAACAGTTTAGAGTTTAAAGTAATTGGTAATTTGCAAAATAAATACAAAAAATTTGTAAATAAACATAATTTTATTATCATGTTTATCATATTGCGAAATTTTAAAAAAGGATTTGCATTAAATTAACTAATTTTTACTATAGATTATAGTTAATGAACTCAATCAATGCATTGTTCGAATATGATACCACTTACAGTGAGACTTCATTCTTCTTTTATAAACCAGCTTAATTATTTATTAAATTCCATTAATTTGTCAATTAGACTGTTTACAATTTACAATTATTAAAAGTCTATTTTATTCTTATCTCTATTTTATCATTTTAGTTGACTGGTATGTGACAGCACTGTTGCTTCTTCTGTCCAAGTAGCTTACACACCGTTTTGTTGTCATAAACCTGGTTATGAAAATCTTTATTTTTAAAACCAGCCTATATGGTACTTAAGAAGAATATGTTTATGGAGCTAGTATTTTCAATGTCCATCAGGCTCTTTAGTTCAGAATACCTTATTATTATAGTTGGTGATTTCAATATAAATCTGCAGCTGTCATATTTATTTTTTTCTTGCGAGTTTCCATTAGACGGTTTCCAGATATTACTCTTACGAATAAAGAGACAGAAATTTTACTTCCTTTCTTTAACAGCTTTGAATGTGTTTGGCTGGCGCGGAGATTGAGTTAGTTGCAGACTTTATAACAAGGGCGTCGAAACCCACGGTTATAGCGATGGAGACATCTAAATACCTTTTATCGAAGTATAGTAGATAGGGACAGATGTCCAAAATTATTTGAGGTGATTATCAGCCGTGTTATTCACATACGCATCGGTATATTGCACTAATAAACGCCCAATTGGAATTCCGAGGAATTCTGCCGGTACCAATTAGAACTATGCGTTTGGATATAGTTTTCTCCTTGGTGAGGAAGTATAACATAACGCTAGCAAGGCTAGTAAAAGGTCAGAAGAAAAGAAAGGTCAGACGTTGAAGGTGGATTATGCAGCCTTTTTAGATACCACTGGACAAACGTAAGGAGTTACCCATCGATACAACTAATTTGAGTTTTCGTGTAAAGGACAGAGTTAAAGAAGTGCTTGCCGTTATACTTGCATCTTTAGTTGGTGCAACCACGTAATACATTAGTGCAGTTCCTTTCCATACCTTTTGTTTTATTCTGGAGTTGGTTCTGGAAAAACCTTTACTCCCTTATGTGGGC